AAAAAAAAAAAAAAAAAGAATGTGGGAGAACACTATATATAAATATATATATTATTTTATGAGTTCTGTTTACTTGCAGCTTATGTGCAGTAAATAAAACTTATTGTTTTTCTTAATTTTCGTTTTTTCTTCTTTCCTTTTTGTCCTTCATGTATTCATTTATTTTGCTATATATATATATAGAGAGAGAGAGAGAGAACTGCAACCTTAGGATTTTAATTTTTGTTATTTTAAGCTGGTACTAAACATTTTATCCACACAAAATTTAGGGAGTAAATTCTTATTTTAAATAATGTGGATAAGTTGGTCACTAAATTTTATATTGCTTAAATATTATTATACTGGTTTTATGTACCTGAGTCATGCATATAGGAACCTATAAAGACTTTTTTCAAGGCTTATCTATTTCTTTTTTCCAAAATTTAAGAATAATCAATCTGTTTTATGTAGAAAGGAAAGTTTTACTCTTGTTTTTCATGAGGAAATTCTGGTTTAATAATGTTTAATTCCATAGGTCTAGGCGTAAGTCATAAAGAATCTCTTGAAGCTGTAGAAGTCAAATTAAATGGAAATGAATTTAATCCAACTGATGACAATGAAACTTTGAGTGTTCAAGACTGTGAATCTTTAGAAAAAGGCTCTTCTCATTTTCTAAATGGAAGCAATGATAATAATGATAGTGCTATGAACTTTGATGAGAAAAGGAAAGGAAAGCCAATTGCTGATACTTCTGATGAACCTTTAATGCATAAGAAAGATATTATAAAAAAATCAAAAAAGAAAAAAGAGCCAGTTGTTGATACTAATAAAAAATCTGAGGAAAAGAAAGAAAAACCTGTTGCCGATACTGCAGAAGAATCTGACGATGAACATTTACTGCCTAAGGTAGATGCTAATAAAACATCTAAGGCAAAGAAAGAAAAATCTGTTGCTAATACTTCTGAAGAATCTGATGATGAACCTTTGCTGCCTAAAAAAGATGTTGTTAAAAAATCTAAGGAAAAGAATGAACAAGCTCTTGATATTTCAGAAGAATCTGATGATGAACCTTTACTGCCTAAGGTAGATGCTAATAAAACATCTAAGGCAAAGAAAGAAAAATCTGTTGCTAATACTTCTGAAGAATCTGATGATGAATCTTTACTGCCTAAGAAAGATGTTAAAAAATCTAAGGCAAAGAAAGAAAAATCTGTTGCTAATACTTCTGAAGAATCTGATGATGAACCTTTACTGCCTAAAAAAGATGTTGTTAAAAAATCTAAGTCAAAGAAAGTAAAATCTGTTGCTAATACTTCTGAAGAATCTGATGATGAACCTTTACTGCCTAAAAAAGATGTTAAAAAATTTAAGGCAAAGAAAGAAAAATCTGTTGCTAATACTTCTGAAGAATCTGATGATGAACCTTTACTGCCTAAAAAAGATGTTCTTAAAAAATCTAAGGAAAAGAATGAACAAGATCTTGATATTTCAGAAGAATCTGATGATGAACCTTTACTGCCTAAGGTAGATGCTAATAAAAAATCTAAGGCAAAGAAAGTAAAACATGTTGCTGATACTTCTGAAGATGATGAGCCTTTATTGCCTAAGAAAAAAGTTACTAAAAATTCTGTTTCAAATGACTTTTCTAGTGACTCTGATAATGAACTTCTTATTAAGTCTAAAAGACAGAAGAAGGAGCAGAAATTATTACTGCCTAGTAAGGAAGTTAAACATCAGAAAAAGTCACTTAGCAAAGTTGTCAAAAACTCAAAGAACAATGTTACTTCTCAACCAACCAATCGAAAGCTTAAATCTTCAGGAAGAATTGAGAAGTCTTTCTTAGATTCTAGTGATTCAGATGAATCTCCCTTAATTTCTCTAAAAGCAAAAAGTAATCGAAAAAATTCTTTGAAAAATTCGGACCATGAAGAAACTAAAGAAAACATTACAAATAATTTTAATCGCAAAATATTGAGTGATTCAGATGAAGACTCATTTTTACCAGCCAAAAAAAGAAAACGATTGTCAAAACCTGAACTTCTGTCTTCAAATGTTGGGTCTAGTGAGCACGGTGCAAGCTCAAGTGATTCAGATGAGCCATTAAGTTCTTTAAAAACAAAAACCAAAATGGAAATGTCTTTGACTAAACCTACAAGTGAGCAGACCAATAATGAAGTTGAGAACAATAAGCAATCAAGAGAAAGCAACCTAAAAAAAGAAAACAAAAATTCTCAGGAAACCAGTGATATAACTGTGGAGGATGAAGATGAAGACATGTTAGCCGCTACAAAGAAAACTAAGTTTTCCAATAGTCTTTCAGGCTCAAATATTAGTAGTTCAGATGAAGAACCACTAGCTTCTTTCAATAAAAATGAGACTTCAATGACAAAAAGGTAATTAATGTTGCACTTTCTTGTAATGTTATCCATGTTTGTTTTTCAACTTTATTAGTTTCAAATCATTTTTTACCCTTTTAATTATTGATACCGAGTTTTATGTAATGCATTTAAAATGCTGATTGATCTTTTTTAAACTTTTTTTTACTATTTAAATTTTAAAACTGAAATTGTATGCAGTACCTGATACCAGATATGTGTAATACACGAAAATTTTCCCCTGCTGTGAACATTTTTTAAATATATATATCAGTTCAAATGCAAAGAAAACAGGGAAAAATTACAGAACAATGAAAAAATGGGAAAAAATAAAAATAACAAAAAACAGGAACTTTTTTTTTTAAATCCGGAAAATAAAAGATATAATCTTTTCATCAGCTCACACAATTATATCTGCAAAAAAGAGTGCTTTCTAATATTGCATCAATCTAGCCAAAGCAAAATATCTCAATACAATAATGTGAGAAGCACTAAAAAAAATTTTACAAAGAAATTACAACAAATGAAATAGAACACAATAAGTAATAATTTCATGTAACTACAGAAAATAAAATTTAAAGAAAAAACAGTAAAACATGAAATGAAAACTATAAAGCGAGTAGCGAATTCAAATGCACTTACTTGAACGGGAAATTTTTCAAGAATGATTTAAAATATTTTCGTAACAAGATTGCCAGATTGCAAAAAATGAAAACAAAAGCGTAAATTGAGCTAAAAGCGTAACTAGGGGAGTTTTGTATTAAAGTGCATTTTTGCTGCATCACTGAAGTGCGTTTGATTTGTTAGTTACCAAGGCTGGACCCAANATATGTTAAAGGCACGAAACTTTTCCCCTACTGTAGACGTTTTTTTAATATATATATATATATATATAAGTTCAAGTATATATATATAAGTATGTATATATATATGTATAAGTTCAAAAACAAGGGGAAAATTACAGAACAATGAAAAAAAGGGGGGGGGGTGAAAAAAAAACTGTTTTTTTTTTTTAAAGTTAAAAATTCGGAAAGTAAATGATATACTCTTTTCATCAGCTCACATGATTATATCTGCAAAAAAGAGTGCTTTCTAATATTGCAACAATGTAGCCAAAGCAAAATATATCAATACAATAGTGTGAGAAGCAGTAAAAAAATTTTACAAAAAATTACAACAAATAAAATAGAACACAATAAGTAATAATATCACGTAAGAACAGAAAATAAAATATAAAGAAAAAACAGAATAAAACATGAAATGAAAACTATAAAGCGAGTAGCGAATTCAAATGCACTTACATGAACGGGAAATTTTTCAAGAATGATTTAAAATATTTTCGTAACAAGATTGCCAGATTGCAAAAAAGGAAAACAAAAGCATAAATTGAGCTATATATATATATATATACAGTCCAACCCCATTTTAGCGAAATCCGAAATAGCGAAAATTACAATGTAACGAATTTTTTCCGAATCCCCAAATGAATCTCCATCGAAACAATGAATTAAAAATACCGGTATTACGAAATTGGTAATCCGATTTAAAGAAGGTGGAAATAAGCAACAATTCTCATTTTCTCTCATGATCAAGACACTTTTCCGTTCTTCAAAAGTACACAATGATCTCAGAATTCAAATATTTTTGCGCATCTTCAAATTAAAAAGTTTCAGATATGAAAGAGACACGTCAAAAAAGACGCGGAAGGGACCTGAAAAGACTAAACCTCAACCTATTCATGTTTGAAGAAGTAAAAATACACGTGGCTTTCCAAAAGAGTGATTTCCAGTTCAGTTCAGTTTGAAAATGTGCATGATTTTGGTTCAGTTTGAAAATGTGCATGATTTTGGAGGAGTTGTAATTTCTACTGGTTCTAAATCATTTGCGCAGAAAAAAAATACGGATTACGTTATTTCTGATGAGTGATAATAAATCCATTGTTTCCTTTTAATTTAACTGTTTTCGTGAGCTTTTAAAATATTGATTTGATATTTTCTGCATGCTGTAGTACAAATAGATCAAAAATGTCATTAAATGCAAGATTTATTATTTTTTATACGAAAAATTCCAATGCAACAAAATAATTTTGGTTGATGTAGAAATTCGTAATATCGGTTTAACGAATTTTCGTTATTGCGTAGCGATTGCTTCGGTCCCGAGGTATTCGCTAAAACGGGATTCGACTCTATATATATAAATCTGTCAGATTGATCTGAGAATTTTTTTAGAAGCTATTAGAGACATATAGATACTATCGAAGATTGATATGAAATTTAGAAACTATGGTTCTTGGGACCCAGGTCTTTGAAATTTCTTGTTCCCTTTTAATTGAAAGTTGATTCTCACTTAAAGTATGAATTCTCTAATTCTTTATCTATCTATAAATGTGCATATTCATAATTATGTGCATATCTAATGGTAGACAATATCTAATGCAGAGCAAAGAGTGTCAAAAAAAAATAGATATTATCTTTGAACTATCAATGTTTTTAATTAGAACTGATCAAACACCTGTATCAAGGAAAAAACAATGTACTGTGAATTACTGTAATTCTCTCCTCAACTATTAATTAAAACGTATAGTTCTCTTTTGCATGTATGTGTGTGTACGTGTAACGTAAAAAGCTTTAACAAAACTTTTGTTATTTTATCTAAGCTCTCCTTCTTAAATTATTATTCAAAATTAGACACTTCTTAAATTATTATTCAAAATTAGACACAATCTCGCATTTTATTATTCACATCTGTCTTTTGGTTTTATTTCTAGATTGAAGTATGCGAGAATTAACATTTTAAGTTTTCTATTTAACCGAACTGTGAGAACTGAAAAAATCCCTTTACCTATTTTTTGAATGAGTTACAAGAAATTTTAACCCTCTTTTAGCACATGACCTTAGGATTCACCAGGACTTGTTTCCAAGATTTTCCAAACTTCTGGTGGTGAAGCACTTCGATTTTGGAATATTCGGTTTCTTGCTCTCCATACAATGATTTCTTAATAAAACTGTTTTTCTTTTGCTTCGGCATATCCATTTATTTCTCCAGCTCGGCCACACTGCTTTCGCATAAATATGTATGTATGCATTTTAAGTTTGGTTATAATTTTGCCAACATAATTCTACTAGCAATCTATTTTCTTCTTTGTTTGTGCTATAGAGTTTCTTTTTTTTGTGCTATAGAGTTAGTCTTAACTTATTTTTCATGTCCTCTCTCAGATTTTAGTAGCATTAGACACACTATAAGGCAAATTGATGAGAATTAGTAATGCCACCGCATTTGTTTTAGTCATGTTACTTAAATTTGATTTTGTAAATTTTTTCCTTATGTTAAAGGCTGAGTGAGAAAATTACTTAGCTGCTCTTACTTAATGCAGGTGTTAGACAATTCATAATTGAAAACCTTGATTGTTCAAATATATCTCCTTTCTTGTTTTGAATGTTTTTATGTTTGGTATTACATTACATAGAATTGTTATAAATTTACATATGTATAAACTCTTTATTAATGTATGTAAAAATTTGAACACCAACTGTTTTTTGAAATTTTGTCCTAATGTCATTTCAAAGGATTTTTTTAAAATTGTCTCTTATAAAAATTTTTCTTTTTCAGCTCATCCAAATATAAGTCTACCGATAAAGAAGGAAAAACATTCTCAGAAAGTAACATCTCCCAATTATCTACAGTATGTGCAGTTTTATTTTAAACGCATACACATATTTTATAATTTACATTGTTAAGTACTAGGATGGGTTGAAAAAACTGAAAGATTTATTTTCAAAATGCTATAGTGTGTAAAAGAAATGATGCTTTATGTAAAAAGAAGGAAAGCAATGTAAACAAATTTTCAATCAATTCATATCAATACACTTGAAATTTATAAAAACTTTAAAAAAATATGACATTTTTGAAGCTCTTAAAATTATAGAATCGCTATACTATAATTTCTTATAGTTGAAAAGAAAAGGAAATGTGTTAAAATATCTTATTAATTCAATGCATTTTGATTGCTCAATGTGCTTAAAAAACAAGAATTATTTTAATTTTACCAAGAATTATTTTAATTTACTACTTAACAGCCTTATTATAACCTTTGGATTAGATAATTAACAGTACGTTTAATTTTATCTTTCAAGAGGGTTTCCATGATCTTGGAAAAAATTGAGAGTTTTGACAAATATTTCACAAAGCTTTTAGAAATTTTAAATTTTTGAATTTTACTTTGATTTTAGGATTTCAACTTCACATCTAAATTTATGTATCGAGCTGTAACATCTAAATATATTTCCTTTAACTTGGGTATATAAATATATTGATAAGTATGAACAAATTAAAAAATTTGATTTCTCCAACTTTTTTTTAACATTTTAGAGGCTAACTAGCTTGATTTATTCTTGATGAATCAGTTAGTAGTGTAGTATAATTTATAAATTTAATGTCTTTTTGCTCCACTTGGCAAATAGTATTGATTATTAAAATTGAGTAAATTTACAATAACAGATTAATATTTTTATGCGGCAAGTTTTTGAATGCCCCACAGTTGGGCCTCGAAAGAGTCTTCTTAAGAATTGCTTGCTGACATGCTTTTTCAAAGAGATATTTAAAATATCTATTAAAGAAAATGGCAAATTTTACATAAGCTGGGTCAGTAAAGGAAAAATTAAAATGCTTGTATGATATAGCATCTTTCCTTAAACTGCTTAACAACAAAACAGTTCAATTAATTATTGTTAATCATAGACCATGCTCTAAAGTTTATAAAAATTGTACATTAGTGATACAGATAGATTTTGACAAAAGTTTATTTCGGTAGACAATATCAATCAACTGCACTAAGTAATCCATAGCACATTTGACTTCTTCTAACTGTTGGCAAATACAGATATATAAGGCTGTAAATAATGTCAATTTAATTCCTCAAAGAATTNCAAGCCTTTTAGAGGTCCCAAGCCTGGAATCTGCTAATATCTCGATTCTTATTAACGCGATTTTAATATCAAACATAGCTTTTCATATTTGCGTGTCGATTCTTATTCACGCAATTTGAATATTGTACGTTGCGATTTTTATTTACGAGATTTAAAATCCGATATTGGGATTCGTATTTACGTCTTTTTAAATGGAATCTTTTTACGTCTGGAATTTATTATTAAAGGGTTGCGCTTGCGTAAAATTTACTGTCGTGGAAATTCAGCTTTTTTGCATTTTGGCTAATCTCATCCCTGAATCTGTGTTTGAATTTTTTTTATTTAATTTAGGTTTATTACTTGTAAAAGTGTATTAATTGAGTTACATAAAAAGTATAATTTAAAAAATAATTATTGATAAGTATTTCCTTATAATTGTCATTATTATGAGATAATAGCAATATTTCAAACTTTCTATGTGTGCTGACATTTTTTTTGGCTAGAAGCAGATTTGAGAAAAAGTGAAGAAATTGTATATCATTAAATTTTGGCCATTTAGAACATCATCAAAAAGTTCAAACAATTATCCTATTTTAATTTATATAACTTTATTTAGAAGAAAGTATATTACCATGTTATTTTGCTTTTACTTATATTTTCTTGGGTATGTTATGAATATTAATTTCAGAACTTTTTTACATCATTTTAACTTTTGAACATTAAAAAAAAAAGTTAATAAAAATCGTTGCAAATATTTTCTCAAATTAAAACAAAGAATAAATAAATAAACTTGACATGAAATATAATTTTATATGATTAATGATTTAAGTGTGTAATATTTAACGCTTTTGTCCGAACTGTTTGAAAAGGTTTCTAATATGACTGCTAAAACTATGGTTAAAGCTCACATCGTACAAATCTAAAAATCTTAGCTTACAAATAATGTGCAATTTTGCACAGTAAAAAACGTCTTTATAATTTTAGAAATAAACATTTTTCTTGTGAAAGAACAGAATAATTTTTTTTTCTTTATGGATATTATCCTGCAGCATATGATTTCCTTCATCACCTACTTATATGGCATATATGATATATAATATGATATAGCTTGTCATAATAGGACCTTATGCCACAACCTTATGTCAATTTATTTACCTATTTTTTCATTAAAAGTTAGCACATAATAATGATGTAACTAATAATAATGATGTTTTATGTAGATTTGAAAGCAGCTCTGATGAAAGTGAAGCTCCAATTGCTAAGAAATCAAAGACTAAGTCAGATGTCAAAAAAGTCATTCAAAAGGTACATTTATATTATATATATATATACATCATGTGTGTGTGTACAGACTTAGATCAAAGGAATAACTGTCTGCAAGCAATTTATTTACTCTTGTAACTAATTTCAACCCTTTTATTGCCACCTTATTTGAGTGAAATTTGTTTGAAAATCACAAATCTTTTTTAAAAGTGTTTTTAATTTTTATAAGACTATATTGATTCATACCACATGGAGAAGTTTGATAAAAGACCAAAAATACTTAAGAAAAAAATCTAGAAATTATAAGTGCAGAAACAATTTACACAAAAAAGTTTATATGAGAACCATTTATTCTCAGAATATTATCAACATTTTAATTAAATTATCTATGCGAGATTTTATTTATTTATATTGTGTGAATATAAACCTCAATGTATGATTTTGAAATTGTATTAATACAATTCTTGATGTTTGATTTTAAAATCATAGAAATATGAATCTTGATGTTTTATTTTAAAATCATATGAACGAAAAATGCGTATTTCAGATAATATTGTGAAATTACGAAATATGATGTCCGAGCTGCATGATGTCCAAGCTGATGTACGAGAAATTGCATAAATATGGATTCGGATGTGCCATTATAAATCGTGAACACATATCGCAAAGTGTGATTTTAAATCATGTGAACCCAAATGGCAATGTGTGAATTTAAATTCCTTGAATGTAATTTTAAATCTTTTGCCTAGAAATTGAGAGATTTGTTTTTTTTTAATTCAATATCTTTTTACTTTAATGCTAATAGACATCTCAAAATTCGATAGTTACAATTTAGGAATGGTATACTGATTATGTTCATGTTTCAGGCATATAGTCTGTATTATTATATGTATATTAACTAAATGATACTGGTTATGTGTTTTTTTTTTTTTTNATTTTTCTTTGAAATTTGTATAAATGTACAATAAACTTTCATTTGCAATTTAATAATTTTATATCCTTAGAAAAGTGTACCTTCCTGTATGTGAATTAAAATTGTACTATCTAAATAACATGATTTTTTAAAAGTCTATGGCATTTTAATGTTTTAAAAAATTTCTCAATGTGAAATAAAATTTTACGCTTGTTTCAAAATCTATTTTCTTATATTTATCAAATGCTTTTTGAAATTATAAGTGAATATAATTAAGTATCAATATGAGCATAGCAAATATTGCGGGATGCCGTAAATGTGTGTTGCGCGAGTGCTACTGATGGCCAGGTAGGCAAAGTTGGAGGGTATGTACTACTGTACTGAATGTTGAAACTATGTTATGGAAGCAATTTAAGTATGTTTAAACAGGGAAGCTACAAGGGACCAAAGAATTTCATCACTCTGAAAAATCAAGAAAATTTCAAGGAATGTAATTAAAATATCCCAAATGATAGAAAAAAATAAATTAATTTGAGTTAAGGGTAGTTCAATTGGTTTTTCCAAAAGAATTGATCTTAAAATAATTTTTTTATGAATAAAATTTATCGTTAATTCCAATAGCAAATATAAATGTTTCGTAATATATTTTATGAAAAAGAATAATACATAATTGAAAATTAAGTATAAAAATTATACTTCCGGTTAAAAAGAATCTGTGGAATTTTATAAAGTCTGTCTTGAAAAATCGAGGAATATTTTTTCCTGAATGTAATTACTATGTTTAAAAAAAAGTAGTGAAAGGAAGGAATACTGTTTAATGAACTCCTATTTTTATAATTCTCTCATTTTTCTGTTAAAATTTAATGCAAACACGATTTTGATTTGCTTTGCACAAAATTTTTTTTTTTAAATTTTACTTTTTTTTTTTTGAAATTTTACTTTTTTTTTTTGAAATTTTACTTTTTTTGTTTTTTTTTTTTTTTAATTTACAATCACTCTAAATTTCAAGATTTTGTAATTTTTTATAAATGTTATTCATGCACCTCCTCTACCTTTAACAGCAGAATTTAATAGATTACAAACCAATTCCCTCTAATTGGTTTTTGTATATTTGAATAGACCAATGTATTTTTTTTATATGCTCATATAATTCTAAAATTTTTATAATTTATATTTTTATAGTATTATATAATGATCATAAATAATTATATTCTTTAGCAATCATTTTTTTTCATATGACTATATAATAATGCATGATTCATATCATTCATAACTGCTAAAAAGAAAATTTGCACAAACTTTTTCTTTTCAGTCTGCACCAGCTTCTTCTGACTCAGAAGATGAACCTCTAGCTTCAATTAAGAGCAATCTGGAAAAGTATTATTATTATATTTTTTTTTGTTATACTCATTATAATTTTTTACTTAGTTATTATGTTAAATGATTTTTAAGGTAGCAAAAAAAGATTTTTTTTATTGTTTTGTTGCTGTGTATTATGTATATTTAACAGTCCCACAATGACTTTTAATAGTTAAGGATACAGTTCTTATTGAATCTACCAATCTATTCTAGTTTGATTCTGGTCACTAAATTTGAAATAAAATAATATAAATTAGTTAATAGTAGCAGGCTTATGAATCAGTTTGATAAAAGTCTAAGTTAGTTTACAATGCATTATTTTTTTAATTATCGCTTAACCCAAATTTTTTTAAGAAATATTTTTAATAATAACATTTTTTTTATTCTTTATATAAATTCTTTTAGATTAAATGGAACAAAATGAAAAAAAATTGAAAATGTTTAAATTTTAAGTTTAATATTGAGTCATAAAAATGTAATATTTAAATGTTTGCATATGATTTCATTCTTGAAAATCATTGATATTAAATAAATTAATGTTAGCAAATTTGAAGTTGAGTAATGATATTTCTATTAATCATATCATGATATGATGCAAATATTTACTTAAGAAAATGGAAATTATAAACAGGTTAAACTATTTATTGTGGAAGATTTATAATGATCAATTATCTTTAAGTACTAAATCTAATAATGCCTGCACGCTTATGTTCAAATTATGTAATGAAAAATTATGAATCTTAATTGAAAAATAGTGTTAAAATCTAAAATTTTGTCCTGAATACTTGCCCAGACGTGCCAACTCTCCCGCATTTTGCGGGAGTCTCCCGAATTTTGAGTTATTCTCCCGCCCTCCGGAATTGATTTGAAAAACTCCCGAATTTTACTGCGATCGACGGCCAAACTCAAAATTACCTAATTTTTCCGCGAGTGCGAAGGTAAGTTTTTCTTTCAGCTTGAATTCCATCCCCTCTTATCAAACTACCATCTGCCTGAAGCGTAGCTGAACATGCTTTATTTTCCCCCCTCTTCAACGTTACCTCTAAAAACACTCCTATTTCACCCGCCCCCTTACACTGGGGGCGGGTGAAATCTTCCTCTTCTTNAAAATACTTGCCCATACAATGTTCAATGTCCAACTGAAACTCTTCTGTTTTCCCACTTTGAATACCTCCAATCCTTATTTACTGCAACCTAATTATTTACAAACGTATGCTGGATATGCTTTTAGACAATAATGATGTAGTAAATAGTGTCTGGTTACTGTGTATTCGCATACCCAGTTTCCTGATTTATTGTAGTGGCAAAAGATGCTTCATATAATAAATTTAAAAATAGTCTCAGGAAATCAAATCTCAACAAAACATTTTAAGATCTTCTAATGCCAAAAACATTTATTTTTGATTAGGTGATAGGTTTCACAATATTGTGAATGAAAAACAAACTTGGCCAAGAAGTTTTTATCTTGTTAGATAGCAAATATGTAAAGATTTGTGATTTTTGAGTTAGATTTAACTGGCATATATCATATTTTGCTTTAATCAGGTATATTTTATTTTTATGCACTATAGATACGCAAGCAATTTTTTTTTCTAAACAATACATTGAATAATTTTATAAACTGGATATTTTGTTACTATGTGAAAGCTTAATAATATTTACTAGATTAACTATTGAAGTGATAGGTATTTTTTAGGAATTCTATGTAAGAAATATATAGTGCAGGCAATAAATAGATAAGAAGTCTGATAAACAAAGAATAAGACATGATATTCAATTAAAAATAAAAGCAAATTTTCTTAATCTAAATAACTCATGTTATTGGTTAAATGATATTAATCCACTACAAAATGTGTTATATTGTTGAATAAATATCATTCATGGAAAATGAAAATAAAATAGGCTGATGATATTCAGATGATAATATTAGAAAGCACGCTTCTAATTAAAAAAATAAGTTAATCATGTCTAATAAAAAAATATGTAATTAAGGAAGGTAAAGGAGTTTATTTTTTAAACAAAAACATTTCCAAATTATTTTGCCTGTGTTTCTTTCAAATGCTATTGCTATAGAGCTTTATTCATATTTGTTCTGTTTATTAATATACTTATTTTTAAATGTACTGTGTATTGCAAACAAGTTAAATATTTCTCTCCTTTAGTAGCAGAGTTTTCTCTTGGAATAAAAAAGGGCAGGGGGTTTCCTCGCAAGAAAGGGCACTCACCATAACATCGTAAAAATTCATCAAAATGTGTAATAGTATGCCGTAACTGAATTTGATCCTCAAAAATTTTATTACCCGCTTATACTATTCTATGTGCGTATTTCAAAAAGTAACTTTAATTCATTATCAAAACTATTCATAATTCTAATTCAGTAGTGAAAAATTGTAATTTATAAAAGATAATTGAAGGCATGCTAAAAGACAATCTTTAAGCATAATTTTTTTTTCAAAAGAAGAAGAAAAAAAAGATGAATTGATAAACAACTTGAAATCTTTTTCTATAATTTAACTGAAAATTATGAGAAAATAAATATTTAAAGATCAATTTCGTAAAAAAGAAAATATTTTTAAAAAAAGTTTAAATTTTTTTTGTGTGTAAATAAAAATTTTAGAAATTCATTCATGTACCCTCCCCCCTCAAAAAAGAGTGAAAGTTAAAAAATTTAACCAGTTGAGAATAACCCTAACTAAGTAAATATTTGTAATAGTAATCAGAATTAAGCCTATAAACCAAGATAATTTTACCAATGTGTAATTATCATTTGAACAGTCAATAATTTTTTTTTTAATGAATATGAATTAAATGATGAATGAATGTGAATTAAAAGGCAGTATTTTTAAGGCATAGTGGCTTATTTTTACAAAGAGGGCCCATTTATAGAGATCAACAGGATGGCAGTGGAAGCCGCCATTCTAAAAACACCTATCGAGAACACTATATTAGTTAGCAAATAAAAAACGTCTTCTCAATCAAATACCATTATTATGTGTTGGCTGCTTCAAAATTTTAACTAAAGCTTTTTAAATTATGAATTTTTTTTACAATCATAAAAGGATACAAATATGTTTAATTAATTTACTGAAAAAATGTCTATTTTTTTTATCAATATACCAGAAAAATTTCTGAATCTAAAAATGAATTATTTCTAGCATCTATTGATATAAATATATCTATAATAGTATCTATTTATATAATATCTTTACTCTTATTATCATTTGGATATATTTATATTTTTCCGTAACAGATTCTATTTTTCCATTACAGCTTCTAATATTCTATTTCATATTTTAATCTGTTTGTATCATATCTAAATTTATGTACACACTCTAAAAATTGCTCCATTTTGTTATTCCTGTAATCTGATTTTTTTTTATTTATTTTTTTTAATTACATGTGAATTCAATTATGTTAAATTACATAAAGTTCAATTATTTGTAAATTTAGATTCATACTTTTAAAATTTGTTACAACTTTTATTCACGGCTTTGTCCAAAGCAAGTAGGCCTTGACTGTTATGTTATTATTTTGTGATTTTTCATTTATTTTCCCTCCTTTTAATGAATATTTATATTCTAGTGAAGAAGATAGTTCTTTGGATGAAAATGAAGAAAAACCAATTGCCAACTCAAAATCAAAAAGTTCAACTAAAGTTAACAAAGCTAAGGTGTGTGAATTAGAAATAGTAAATCCAAAATAATAAATACCTACTAATCGGTTTTGTTTTTTAATCAAATGTTTAAATATGCTCAATAACATTTAAAATATCTTTAAAATAAATTAAAAACCTTTATTATTGTTTTTCTAACTATTAAGAAAAATTGGGAAAACTCTTTTTAACAAGAATTTTATAAAATATTTAGCAGAAATATTAAAAAAAAAAAAAAGTTCTGAAAGTCTAAGTTGAAAATTAAAAATATCTTTACAAAAAACTTATTAAGCATAAATATAAGTTAAAAATTTAAGCCTGATTTGAAATCTTGTTATTTACCTTTCTACTTGCTCCTGTTTAAATGGTGGAGGGAATTTTTGCAATCAATTTCTGATATTTCTGGGGTCTGAGTGTTCAAGAGTAACCTGCCATAAAGATAAAATTAATCTATTTCTGAGACCTGGAATCATGTTTATTTCTCAATCTATATACCAGATGGCATACCAGCTTACTTCTAATTTGTTAAGAGGTAGTTGTCAGAAACTAGATGTCAGGTCCCATCTAACATGCAAACTAAAAATTAACCCAAAAATTTAAAGTGAATACATGTATTGTACATTCACTTAGTTTTACTTAATTTTCTTGCATAAAGAAATATACTCTTTTTATGGCAGTTTTCTTCCAAATTATCCGAGCATCAAAGGGCTGAAGATAAAAGATAAGCAACAAATCGAAAACAGCAAGATTTTGTCAAACATTTGTAAATATTCTAATTGGGGTCAAAGCAAATCTGTCTGAAGTTCGGCGACATTTAGTTTAAATAAACTAATTTGAATCTTGTAAGTTGTAATATTTAGACCAGTTTCTTTTAATAACAGGAACAGAAGAAACAGACTCCCTCTTCTGGCAAACTAGAGAATCTGAAGAAGTATATTAGAGCTGCTGGAATACACATAAAATCCTATGACAAGTTATTTGAAAATTGTAAGTCGATGAAATCGAAGTCTGAAAAACTTTTGCATTTGCTGGAAAAAGAAGGATTAAAAGGTATGGCAAAACCAAATTGCTGTTTTTTTATTTGTTTTTGAAATTTATATAGTGAGGCAACATTTTTCATTCTAATATGTCTTCTTGTTCCAAGCTTGAAATTAAATTTTCAGCAATTGAAGATTTAAAACATAAATACAGGACTCCCTCCGGTCAAAGAGAGTAGGGAAAACCTGGAATTGCCTGGGAATTTTATTCTTATTCTAAAAAGCACGGAATAGTCAGGGAAAGATGCAATTTTCTTTTACAAAAAACCTGGAAAATTCCTATATTACGCCTGTAAAATAACCAGTCTTAGAATAGTTAGTAACAGTAATCAATTATTGATATTCAAGTTAAATAATTCTTACATTTATTGCAATTATTTTATAAAATTTATCTTTTTAGTGAAACTTTCCATGTTTTTTATCTTGTGTTTTAGCTCACAAAATCTAATATTTGACATTACAAATTTAAAAAAAATTGATTAAAGATTCCATGCTATTTCTGATGGAAAATTCTATAGTATAGATAAAATATGGTATGGATTTTCATACCAATTTCCGTGATATATCTGGAAAGGAAAGGGAATTTGTTTTCTCAAATGTAGTGAGAACCCTGTAAATATCTGCTATACTTTAGTAATATAACTATATCTTCAACAGAATTGTTGATACCTACAGTTTCCAGTGTTTCTAAGGAATATAGACAAATTTAACAAAACTACAGCACAATTTAATAAAAATACAGAATCTTCCCTTTTCATTTTTGCGTCTTTAATCAACAAATTTTGTTTGATTTTAATGTTTTGCTTCAGCATAATTTTAAGTTATGGATAAATTTTTGCTAAGACAGAAAGTCAGTAATGTCTGCATCATTGAAAAAAAAGGGAGAGACTGTTAAAAATTTTACAGTTGAATATTGAAGAGAATGGTCGTGTCTTTAGCTATATTGGAATGGAGGATTTACGTACAGGGTATCCGCGCGCCTGGAAAGTCATGAATTTCGGTATTGAACAAAATTTGTCATGAAATGTCATGATTTTAACTATTTTTTTGAAAAAATCTTGAAAAGACATAGATTTCGGTCAGAGAAAAATCTAATAATTTTTAAAATGGAATCTACCCCCTCCCTCCAATTTTGTATTGTTCCGAATATCTGAATTTGTAACAAAATCCCCACTTACAGTCATATTTGATTGAAATATAAAATGTTTTTATCATGTTCTTTAAAAATTATGGTGTTCTTTCAAAAAATGAAAGAAAAAACATCATTTCTAGAGCGAATTATCTTTCAAATTTCTGTGATTTCAGAATTTTTGTTATTATTTATTATTTTAATTTTATCAATTTAAAATTTTAACTGAAGCAAGCCAGTCATTTGCGAATTTTTTTATTTCAAAATGAGAACAGAAAAATCAGGAGTATTTCTTTCCTTTCCCATGAACAAAAAAAGTATCTTTAGACTGTAATTCTGCAGAAAGAAAGAAGAAAAAAATTATTTGCTTTTGTATTTTTTTCAGCTATTTTATTCCTTCAACTCTTTCTTTACTCTGTTTTTTAAATTTAAAATCTATTAATGTGAAGATGCAGAGTATAACAGTTTTGGTTATGCCTATCATTTCAATGAATGTTATTTTATTATAATGCGTTTTTAAATTTATTGTTGTGTTTTTGTCAGAGAAAATAGTAACTTTGTTAAGTCATAAAAAATTCTTGGAATTAGTCATGAAAAGTCATGAATTTGAAAATCTAAAATGTAGCAGATACCCTGTATGTATTGTAGTAATTTCAATTTCAATTATTTTCAATGTCTGAAGGTGTATGTGTTTTCTGCCAATGGTATGACTGAATCTCAGAGACAAGTTTTGTCAATTATAACAGAAATTTAATGAAACTCAGCAAAATGATCCAGTTATCAGACACCTTTCGTTGAAGAAAATTTTTAAATAAATTCTTTTTAAAATATAATTATCATAGGTTTTAATAAAAAGAATTGTATTTTAATTTTCTCTGAAAGTAGTTATCATAAAAATGGGATATTTAGCATAATTCATTGAAACAAATCTTTATTTCGTATGATTAAGTGAAATATTTTAAGCATACAAGTTTTCTTAAACGTTCTTAATTCTCTTCTTTTTATTTAAACCTTACTTTTAAGTCTAATAAAACTTCACTTTAATAAACTTCTTTAACAGGGCGACCAACACTTGCAAAATGCAAGAAGTTGAAAAAGAAGATTGAAACAAAGAAAGAGGTGGCTGAGCTTGACCCTAGCAATATCATATCTTCAGGTAAATTTACATTCATTAATTTACAGAACAATCATGTACAAACATTTTGCAGAAACATTATTCATTCATCTAACTCTGTAACACAAAATACTGAATCCGTGAATAGTGTTGTAGATTGTGCATAAAAATTTATTCTTAATATATATCTTCATGTCAATGAATACAACATTTTTCAGTTGTTGTTTATTATTTTTTTCAGATCGTTCCACACATGTTTTCCAAAGTCTTACATTATTTATAACAATGCTATTATGACAAGTGTGCCTTTTGAGCAAAAAGAGTCACTTTTTGACTAGCTCAATTCACGATGATTTTATTGTAAATTTAAGTCATTTCAAGATAATTTTTTCAATAGGCATATGTCTCTTTTCGCCTTTTTCAGGGTGATTTTTTTTTCTATTACAATATTTTTAATATGATATTATGGTTAACAAATTTCGTATATTATTAACCATATTCTTACAAGTTTAATTAGTGAAGATTCAATCTCAAATCCACATTCAATTCCAATTTCTTTTTTGGCAGTTGTTCCGGTTACATATTTTGTCAGCCATTTTAACATGGTTTTTAAAATCCTGATAATTTTAATATGCTATTGCAACAAGTAAGATTTTCAAAATACGAGAATTATGCTAATTTTAAAATTGGCTTATTGAATGCTCTAATCCGCAAAATTATTTTTAAGTTAAATTATCCTTTTGAAAATAAATTTTTTTTAATGATAAAATTATAGACTTTTCTATATTTTGGATTTCTTGAAAGCGATGCCAATTTTTGTTTTCCTTTTTGTGATGGATGTTCTTTTTTAGAGGGATATAATGCCCTTTTTAAGATCTAGGATGAAACCTACCTTATTTTCAAATACAGAGAGATTATTTATGATATTAAAATTAAACTGGCCATCAATATTTGTTTTTAATTTTATTCTGATTTAAATAAGAAAGTTTTTAAAATAAAATTTAATATTAAATATCATCTGCCTGATTAGGGAAAAATCTAGGATTTTCAGGGAATTTGAAAATGTCTTCTCACTGGACACCCTGTAAAGAGGGAAGATGTACAAATTTCAAATTGTAACTCGGTGAGCCGAAGTCACAGATATATTAGTATGTAGTAACATATTTTGTTTGCCCTTTATTACTTAGTCACATTTCTTATTATAGTTTTTTTTAAATTATAATTGGGAAGAAATTAATGATCTTAGCATTTACCTCTGTAATATAAAAAAAAAAAAATTTTTTCATAAATTTTTTAAGTTTTTAAAAATTATAAAAGTTTTTTTAAATTTTAATTTTTGTCAATATAGGTCGTCCAAAAAGAACAGCTTGTTTTGACACTACAAATTGCATTGATGATGACGACGACTCAGATGTTCCTTTGGCTAAGTATTCACGTCTTAAAGGAATAATTGATAGTGAAGATAGTGATTAATTTGTGGTAAAAAAAAGTTTATTGTGTGTAGCTTTAAACCTTCACATTGATTTTAACTTGACTTTTGTCTTGCACTATAACAGCGTGCATTCTTTAAGGGCAAGTTATTTTTAGAGCTAAAAAATATTCAGAGTGCCCAATAGGGCTTAAAAGATGTGTATTTTTTGGTGAGAAATTTGGCATCGCACCCTGAGTAATCTTTTATTGCATTATTCATTGAACCATATTTATATATGAATAATTTAGTGTTGTAAAACAGTTTTTATTTATTATTTTTTTCTTTAAATTTGTATTATTATTTTATGGCTTGTATAAAGCTATTTTGTATTCTGAAATTTGTAACATTGGTCTAGTCTTTGTTTTTTTTTTGTTTTTTACATTGTAAAATTACCATCAATAAAAATTTATTTTTAATTCTTGTGTTTTTACTGTACTTAGTATTTCTAAATCATGCAGGGTTTATATAACATAAAACTTCCTAATTTTCATTCTTTGCCTTAGTAGTTAAATTTATTATAAAATTGATTTATTTTGTTAACATTAAAATTTTCCTTAAACTTATTTTCTTAATTATTACTGGGTTTAAAAAAAGGAAGATAAAACAAATATTTTATCCTGAATATTTTATAATCTTTCAAAAAGAGAAAGAAAGAAAAGAAAATGATTCTGAAACCAAAATAACATAAAATAAAAGTTGAGCTTAGTTTAAGTCAGAGTGTATCACATATTAAGCAGAAATAAATTTGCAAAGTTAAAAAAAAGGCAAACATTTTTTAATGAATCCTCAACATTTACATTTCTTCCATTTTCATACCCTCAAAAAAATAGCCTTTGTGAGTGAATGTACATCCTTGATTATTGCTAGATCTAATTCACTGATCATGGAAAGTCAACGTGCACGACATGGTTAAAAAGTCTCAATGTTTTGCCAAAAATTTTTGAAACGAAGCATTTTCGCAACAAAAATTTTATTTTATTCTTGAAAAAAAAATCAGTCCTACTAAAGACAAAATCTGTATCAACTATGGGGTTACTTCACAAGATGTAACAGTCACATGATACTTACAATCACAATAGATGTAGCATCTTTAACAGTTTTTATATTCTCATTTTGTTGCTATTTTTACATTTAGGAAATAGATTGCTATGTTGATCTGATCTATCAGTCATTGTTATAATATAAGAAAAACAACATAACAGAATAAACAAAGGTTTTTAATAATTGCTTTGGCTAAAGTTTGTTGATTGTTTTCACAATTAACTGAGTGATACAAAATAATATAATGAATTGTAATCCGTTAATTGATTGATGACATTCATAGATTTTTTTGTTATAATATTTGAGTGAAAAACATTGATTATCAGTCACTAAATATCCATTTGAAATGGAAGGATTTATTTCTATTAATGTGTTTATTAATACATGCTCAGCATATTTCATACAGATGTTTTTTCTTTTTAAATTTCTATAATGAATAGGATACCTACATTAATTCATTTTTAAAATATAATTTAAATTAGCATTTTATTTAGTGTAATGATCTTCTATGTCAATGATATATAATTTACTTAAATAATAATAAATGCATTTTGCTTTTATAAAAGCAAATGATGCTATTATCTAAACAAAATGTTGGTAAGCTCCCACCATTCTGCTTTAAAATCGGAAGTGCCCTATTAGTGAGAAAGATGTTGGAAAGAAAAATAATATAAAAATTTCCTAAGAATGACTTATGAATAAAATAAAATTTTATAAATTGGTTTTTAACAAATTGTTAAAATTTTTTAAATTATTTGATCTGTTTGTTAGCCACAAAAATACCACATGTCATTTTATGATTTCCGAAATTCATAAAATGACATTTATAAGACTAAAAAAATTAAATTTAATGCTTCAGTTATAATTCCTTGGCTTAGAATTTTGAATCGAACATTTTATTTATTGAATTATTAATATTACATTTCTTATTTAAAATTGTAAAGTTCATGCTTACTAAATTAACGGTTAAAGCATCTTAATTACATATTGCACTACACATCGAAAATCAGAACGATTCTGAGCAAAGCTTAATGTTCTACTAATCATATTTCAATAATTGCTATGTTTCCAAATGCTTATAACTATATGTAAAAAGTTATTATATTTAATGTAATTTAAAAGGAACTAAATTTATGATATTTCTGAATAACTTAAAACATATTTACAAAGTATGTTTTTAAATTTCATATTATCATAAAAGTTTTTATTTATAAAAATTTTATGTATAAAATATAAACTATTTTATTATTTATGGAACAAGATATATCAAAGTTATATTCTTTTTTTAATTTTATATTACTTTAAGGTATTAATTGATTTTCATTTTTAAAAAAGAGCAGGCTGAATTATTTATATTCTTATTTCTTTTTAAATTCCATTAAGTTATTTTTTTGAGAAAAAAAAGCTTTTCTTAATATTACTACACTCAGTATTTTTTTTTTTAATTATATCACAATAATTTATTATTTCTTTTCCCACAAGAAAAATTTTTTCAAGTGCAACAATGCTACTAATAATAATTTATGTAATATAGAAGAGACTATTTCATAAAAAATCACTTTTTGATTACATTAATAAGCATTTACTAGATTTAAATTAATAAGTTTTTCAGTATACAAATTTGAAACTGAGATGATTGTGTGGTTATCGCGTAATACTCTATGGTGACAACATCTAGAAATGAATTGACTGCATTGTGTCATCAGCAAAATCTGTTTGTGAATTTAAGAAATTCACACATGAATACCATAACACTAAGAGAAGACTTGTCTCCAACGAAACACTTGATGAAAAATAGTCTCTTCATAGATTTGTAACTTTTCATTTTATCAAAAATTTTTTTAAAAAAATTCTTAGTACATTTAAGAAATATTTATTAACGTAATAGCATATTTATTAACAAAAAGTTTTTATTCCATAATCTTTTTGCAAAAATTTTTTGATTTTATTCAGTCCTGCTGATATTGATTGTACCATAATCTTAATGTTAGAAAATCACATAATCATTTCTTTGTGAATTTTTTTATATATTCTATTTTTTTGTTACATTTTTCCAATATTTCAAAAATTTGAGGATACAATGTTTTCTTTCTTCCTACCAAACTTTCAGCTCTGTTTTTTTAATTTCATTGCCCTTTATATATAAAAACTAAACTCAGTGGCTCTATAGCCCATAGGGGGCCCAAGGCCTACTGTGCCCATCTCAGTTTTCTTGGGCTCTGGAGGGAAGGAAGCAGATGTACCGGTCAGGTTGTCAGCTGAACGTGGAACCCCCAGTGTTTAGTTCCCAAGCATGCTTGGTACTCATTTATCGACCCACTGAAGGGATGAACGTCTGAGTCAATGTTGCCTACCCCGAGGATTGAACCCAGGACCTGTGGCCCGGGAGCGCAAGGCGCTACCACTCAGCTACCAGGTGTCATTTATTTATATATATATATATATATACATACATATATATATATATATATATAAATACAAGAAAACACGAAGAAAGTTAAGAAAAACAATAAGTTTCATTTATTGCGCTTAAGCTGCAAGTAAACAGAACTCGTTAGATAAGTTCAAAATGAAGAATAAAACAAAGAAAAATTATAGACATATGAAAAAAAAGAGGGGGGGAATAATAAGTANTTGAAATATAAATCTATTTATATTTCAATGGTATGTTTTCAGCCTTGAATTCCCAAAATAGAATCTCTCTACGCTTATTCTTTAACAAAGACATTTCATGAAAACGAAAGAGTTTTAATTCTTTTATTAATACAAAAGTATTTAATTTTTGTATTACACACACACACACACACATATATATATATATATATATTTTCTATTATTTAATTGTGTTTTTATTTATAAAAATTCCCACTATTTCACATTACTTATGAATTTTAATCTTTGCTGTTATGGGTACCATCAATGATCGGATTCAAAGTGTACTATGTACAAGAACTACTGCATGTAGCAAGTTATTAAAATGTACTGATACAAGGGTTTTCATGGGATCAGAGTATTTACTTTTGAGAGAAAAAAGTTAAAGAGCAATGCCTTTTTTTAGAGGAGCCTGAAGAAATCTTCGAAATAGCTCGAAAATAATGATGCCAATGAGGTTTTTTAGAAAATTAGTATTACATTTTGTTAAAATTCCAGTGTCTAGATTTTCATAGATTAATAAATAAATTTATGATTTATTAAATAAAATTATGAATTGATACAAAATTCTTTTTTTTTAACAAATTTTTGTTTAAGATTTTTTCTTGACCATAAACATATTTGAAGTTCGAAAAAAGAAAGGAAAATTCTCTAGGTTGTTAATAATTGTTTTTAAAAATTAAGTTTTCCATCTAAATAAATTTTTGTAAGATTTTTATGTGACTACTAATCAGGATTGGCATTCATTTCATTACTTGTTTTTTTTTTTAAGCCATTTAAATCAACTCATTTTTTTCTTTAAAAAATATTCATTGATTTAGGTCAAAAATATTATTATTCTTATAGTTGTGATTTTTTATAAATTTTTAAGTAGTTGCCTTGTAAAAGTAAAAAAAATTGTGTTATTTAAAAATTTATATTGTTTTTGAGAAGAAAAATACTTATTGTCAATTCTGCTATTACGATGAAATTCCAGGAAAGACAACCTCTATGTAGTAACCAACTTTATTTACGACCACTTTTGAGAGGCATGGAATTTTTCCCATAGACTTTGCGCTGAAGAAAACCTTTAGGAGCGAGACCATTAAATCCTCTCCCCGAGACCGGGCAAACATCTGCATCAGATGCGGTAAAGATCAAATAAGGAAGCACGAAAAATAACAAATCAAAATATATTAACAAAACAAATAAGTAGATTAAAATATTTTCAAAATATTTATGTCAGGCTCTTATTTAGAGAGCTCTTTTAGACGATACAACCTCATGTTGCAGTCACTAAACACTGTGCTATAAATGATTTACTTCTATAGTTGTATATTAGAGCTACGATGGCTCAGGGGATAAAGCGTTCGCCTTCCAATGCGGCGAACCGGGTTCGAATCCCAGTCGATACGAATTCCGCACCCGGCTCACACCGACCACAGTGCTGACATTAAATATCCTCAGTGGTAGACGGATCATGGGTTAGAGTCCCCTTGCCGTCAGGCTAACCGTGGGAGGATCTCGTGTTCTTCCTCTCCATGTAACGCAAATGCGGGTTAGTTCCATCAAAAAGTCCTCCACGAAGGCAAATTCATCCGAATCCTCGATCCAGGAGTTCCCTTGTCTTCTGGATTGGATTCAAAATTACAAGGCTACGGAGTTGAACATTAGTAGTCGTAAACCCATAAAATTGGGTCGGCTGTTCAACGACGGTTATAAAATAAAATAAAATATAGTCGTATATTGGGCCTGGATAGCCTGGTTGGTAAGTCACTGGACCCATGTCCAAGAGGTCATGGGTTCGATCCCTGCCGGCCGACTCCCTGTGTAATAAATGGTGACTGATGCACATTAAATCTGTCAGGTCACAAAGTCCTCCAAATTCCCATAACAAATCATACATCTGGGGGTACTGATCCAGGAGTTTCCTTGTCTTCTGGATTGGGTTCAAAATTACAAAGCTACAGTGTTGAACATTAGCAGTCGTAAACCCAAACGTGGGTCGGCTGCTAAACGACGGTCATAATAAAATAGTTGTAAATTAAATTAGTAAAAAAAGTTATTTTAGAAAAAACAATCTCAAACAAACAAACCTCTTCTCATATTTTAAAGCTTACTAATTTTTGTGATATAAAATTAAATGGAACGGAGAGTGGTCGCTCCCAAGAGGTTTCGCGGTATTATACTTAATTACTTTGAGTTTTTAAATTTCCTCTATCTATTAAAGTTTTTTTACAAAATGCATAATTGGGATATTTTTCTTCAAAAGTAAGTTTTATTGCTTATAAAATTGATAAATTATTCTCGTGTATAAATGTTTTTGCCAAATAATCTGATAATGTTTCTTGGTTGATGATATTATCAACAAATCTAATGTTTTTTATTGCCAGAAATACGTGGTAGGGAATTTTGCTGACTTTTTTATGGAAATTCGCGGAGATAAGCTCTAATTCTGAGTGAGAACCCTGAATAATTCTTATAGATATGGAAAAAATTTCAGTAATATTATCAATCCTATTCTTTTATGCAAATAACAGCAGCTTTATTTATTTTTTTGAAAGGTAATTTGAGTCATAAAATTATATACTGATCAAAATTACAAACTAATCCTACCATTACAATTATTCTAATCAGGGGTTGATTAAAATAGTTTTTTCTGGAGAATCAACATCTTGAGACAACTTTCTTTCTTTTCTTTTTTTTAAATTGGCAACTTTACTATCACATTCCAAAATATTTCAAGTTTAAATGTCCTATTTTTTTCCTTCCAAAATTAATGCGAAAACTATGGCTTTTAGGAAAAATTAGCATTTTATTTTAGGATTAATTTTTTAGGAAATAAAAAAAAGAGGAGTGATCTAAATTTTTTTGCAGTGTTCCGAAATATATATATATTGTTTTTTGTT